TGTGCGTCTGTCCACAATACCCCCCTCCCCCGGCCTTGGCAGTTTTCATTCCTTACAAAGCCACTGTTTTTAATCATTATGGATGGTACAGAGAGAACGCGGAATTTTGACCATTTTGTGACAGGTTAAAAGCTGCCACGCCGTTAACGTTGTAATAAGAGGATTGCCCTGTGCACCAATGGCTTCCATAAATTCTCAGCAGAACAAACCTATAAAATACGAGGTGGTACAGTAGGATTGAGAAGTCCGAGTCCTATTTGACTGAGCAGTTGAAAAAGGACTCAGCTCTGGATAACTTGAGAAGTCGATAACAATTGTGGAGTTATTGGCACATCGGTGAAATCTTACAAATCTCGGGCTTGACTAAAAATGCCTGAATTGTATTCCAGAAAGGGGAAGGAGACCTAAGCGACCAACATTTCTGTGTGTATCTGTGGAAGAAATTCCAACATGCTGAGAATTTAGACTTCTTTTAGAAATGATGAACGACCCTGCAAAAGTTGAATGAAATCCCACTGGGTGGGGGTAGAGTAGTTTGTGTGTGGGATATGGGTACGGACAACGGTTGACGGATGCAAGATATAGCCGTCGACTTCACAAAAACCACCTTCAAAGGTGCATGTCAGTAGTCCAACCGTTCAGTAAAATTCAGTTCGGGAAAACGGGTTCACTGCAGATTCCATAAAAACGTGCTGAGGCACGGTATCGGCCCAGGATACAGTCAGTTGGATTAAATTCCCTAGCCATGCACGCAGACGCCTGACAAGTGCAACTACGATGTACCGTGGGGGGGCACGATCAGAAATCAAAGTCACATCCAGTTTTGGCAAATCTTCCTGACTTTTCCAAGAAACTTGAAGGGTATACCTCACTGGGTGAACTGCATTCTGTCTGGGTGTTTTACTAGTATAAATAGCCACTGACACATTACCCTGCAAGTGCAAAATAATAATGAGGGACCGTGACAAGATATCGTGCAGGCACACGATACATACCCAGCCCAGAAAAACTGTGCAGTTGTATTTCAAATCCATGGTGTGTATACGCGAGACTATTGATGGGCTGAGCAAATTGCTTAGTATTTGGGATAATTTTTCAAGCTGCAGAATGTATTCTGTACATGCCCCGCTTTCTATTGTCTCATGTTAAATCACACACGAGGAGTACTCAGAATTTCTTGAGTAGGCCTGAGGGACTTTTCACCACCTGTGCACACATTGACTGAATACACATGTAGTACAAATCCAGTCTTGAGCCAAGACTAATCGGTGCACCAACAGCAAGAACAATTCAAGTATAGCACTCAACAGTTCCCACATAACTTGTCTGAAGACAATCAAACAATCCCCAATTATATCCTACAATTATTGAGCCTAAATAAATCGTCAAATTAACCCTCCTGCTGTATCCGTCAATAACAGTCCAAAATTCCTTCCACTTGATTTACCTCAGTACACAGACACATAAGGCAAATTTGACTGATTTTGCCTGATATGGCAACTGAATGTATCTTTGCATGGGAGAGTTAATCATTTTAACAACATAAAGCATACAGAAAATGTCTTATTTGTTAAACTGCTATCAATGTATTTTACAAGCAATAAATATTTAGTTACAAAAAGTAATTGATTACATAAACAAGTCACAGGAGTTGGCAATGTTGGCACTGATGTTGATCCAAGGAAAAAATAAATAAAAATAAAACTATGTACATAATTATTGTGTCCATGCGGTGAACTGAAAATAAAGTTTGAACAGTGATGAAGACGGGAAACATTTGACTGCCACCAGAGAGTTAAAGAAACAATATTTGAAGTTCTATTCAAAATGAGTAACATGACCAGCTGGTAGGACTTGAAATTTGGAATGTATACATTTTCATCAATCACTTTTGAAATAGTCACTTGCACCGGGCAATCATAAAGTTTACCTTTATGATTGTCTTCTGTTTCACAATCTTTTCTTTCTTTAAGATCTAAATTCACTTTCCAGCTTTTGTGCATCAAGTTATTGTAAAATTAAAAGATAACAAATGTCTCAATTTCCGGAACTGTAAGGCCTTCGTTTCCATCTTCAACTGAACAGGCAACAATTGTTACAATTAGACTAGTAAATGCATTCTTAATTGAAATGGAGCAAGTCCACGAAGTTTTAAAACATACAAAGTGAAAGCCTACGTATTTCATGCACACTTCAAAGAAGCAATCAACTGCAAGACTGCATTTCACTATATGACTCATTTCCACAAAGCAGTTACATTTTCACCTGAAAGAGTAAGAAAAAGAACCAGTTTTTCTGAACAGCCAGCATCAGACAGTGGTCTGCTTCTGGAATCTCATGTAGAGTCGGTGGGCGAGCGTGTCCTGCAGGGACACCAGGAGGTCGTGTGATGGGTCGGTTTTGGCCGGGAAGATCTGGCGGCGGAACGCCTCGTTCTCCGCCAGGAGCTCAGTGAAGTTGGCAAGGAGGAAGGAGTGGCAGTACTCCAGGAGGCAATCTGAACTGTACAGCTGCCATGGAAACCAAGAAAATGAGACTTGTTAAAGAAGTTTCAAAGCAAAAGACTATTTTGTAAAGGAAACTTTTATAAGCACTTTTATGTAACAGATAGTATCTTCATAACAATGTTAATTAAAATGCATGTCTCTGGTTTATTCACCAATCAGATTTCCAGTTTTGCTAGGAATTCTGGGCAGATAAAATTACATGTACATGCATAACTCCTTTTGGCCTTCTCACAAGAGGTACTGGGCCACCTTGTGTGCATGTACTGGATGGTGCGAGTATAAATGGCACATTCTCATCTGAAAATGTGCACAAAACCTACAGCACCTACAAATGGAATTCTCCCAACAGTGAGTAACTGCACTAGTATTCCAAAGCAGTGCTGTCAAAGGCAGATGGTGCTCATGCGTTATAGTCCTATGATAGCCCCATTGCTAAACAATTGGTTCCTGGCCCATCTATTATTGTCTCAATTAAACACTGGGAACCAGTGTAATCGTACTGCATGTTGCAGTGATAAGCATGTTGTTTTTAGTGATAACTCAAGGAAAATTCATGAGGCAACTTGATTTCATTTTACGATTTAACTTTCAATGAGAATTACCTGAAGGGTGAAGTATGAAAGGAAATCAATAAAATCTACAAGTTCCATATTTTTCAACATTGTTTTATGCCTGTAACTTGGATTGTAACGTCTTTAAGCAGAAAAATTCCCAACTATGCAGTCCCCCACCCAATGTTTGAATGGGCTGTGGACAGGATGGTGACTGGAAACCGCTATGACGAACAACCGGTATAGAGTGCTACCAAAGCGTGACGTCATTTGACCACAAAGTGTAGACAGAAGAGCAAACGAATGGAGTACACCCATGCATGTTGATTCACACACTGGTTTTCGAGCTAGTGCCTTTTTACACGCATTCACTTTGATACTCTTCACCAAAAATTTTGTCTATATTACATACCCTGTTGTGCTAGTCATGGTGGCACTCTACTGTAACACTAAGAACTGTGCTGATGACTTCACCACGGTTTTACTAACTGCAGTTGTTGCAGTGTTTGTTGTTCCAGGATCGTAAAACTGTAACACATGGGGCTTACATAGAGAGGGGGGGTGAAGGGAAGGGGTGAAGGGAGAGGAGTTGA